ACAAGCGTTCCCCCCCTCTCTCCTCCTCCTTTCCCCTTCCCACATGCCTTTGGCAAGCCCCGGGTCTGTTCACGCTGGAATTCCCCCGAATCCCAGATATTCCCTTAAAAAATTAGACAGTCCAAAAAGGAGGTGAGAGTTGTACACACTCGAGCTGTCCTTTGCAGGCCAAATTTGGGAATACATTTGCGGGGACGCGAGGAGCACATTCCAAGGGGAAAAGAATGTTTTTGTAAGTCCACTGTATGCAAATCATCCTACGGATGGTGCTCACGGAGGTAAGGACGAGCCTTTTTCCTGGATCTCTCTTTTTTCCAGCCACACAGCAAATTCCCATCTTCCCAGCAAGGGGGCACTGGAATCGCTCCGGGAAGGTGCTGCTCCTCCTCCTCCTCCCTGCCTGCACATTCCTCCCGGGGCAGGTGACACGGGTCGGGTTTAGGGAAGCCGGGATTCCAGGAAGGTTAGGCCGAGCATAGCCCTCTAGTCTTCTTTTGCAGACCTTTGCTCTTATTTAATTTGAGGTTGATTGGTTGGTTGGTTGGTTTTTGTTTTTCATTTCTGAACCTGTTTGTTAGTAGGAGTAGAACTATTCAGTTACTTAGAGTGTTTTGGAAGATTGTGAATTGACTTTAGATATTTTTTTCTACTGAAACTAAGTTGTTGCAAAGTAAGTTGGGACTTAATTTAACTGTGGTTTTTTTGTTTGTTTGTTTGTTTTGTTTGTTTTTTTTTAATGTTGCACTATTTTGGGGAGCGTTTTGCTAAACATATTTAATGAAGCTGCAAATTTGCATGTATTTAATTTATTTTGTATTTTTCAAAGTTTTATATTTTTTCTTTCTTTACGTGCATGTGCACTGCCAGAAGAATGAACTGTGAACTTGCCATATGCAATCTTGAATAAAATCACTAATCCACAACTACTCTGTGCTATCTTACCAGCTGCTGGAAGCTGAAGTTTCTACTCTGAACTAATAATCCTCTTGTTTTGGTTCTAAAACAGCTGTTTTGGGAAAGATACCAAACTTATTTGCTGTCAAAGATTTTTTGTGTCATAGGAAAACTTTTTGTTCTGTCTTCTGAATTTGGAGTTTGGTATGGAATCGTGTTGTAGATGCAATATTAGCTTAAAAAATAAAAAAAAGGTGTGAATTCCTCAGAGCATCCCCAGGGCAGTTCTGGAGGGCAGTTCTGAGAGCTTTCTGCAGCTTGAGGGATAAGTTAACTTGGACATCTCTTAATGGTGCTAGTGCTGATCAGCCAGTCAGTCCCACTAGCCGAGAACAAATTAAGTTTCTCCAAGTTCACTTCTCCATCCAGACTGCAGGAGGATTTCCCTCCAACTGAAATGCCAAAAGGATGCCTTGGGCTAAAATTCTCCAAATGTGTAATCATTGGAAATCACGAATTCTCAGTTGAACATACTCTGCTTCTGTATCTAGTTTGATTTTTTTTAAGCCTATTTTAATCAGGCGACTTCAGTTTGTACCGCGTGCTGTATATTCAACTTTTGTACCATTTTTAAGGCTTTCACGTTTTATATCTGGAGAGGAAAACCACACATCTGCTCTGCAGAGATCCAAACCTGTCTCTTGCCGTTTCTGCCACCTGATCCTTACTTTCTTTGCTCTTTGAGTGTTGTGTTCTATTTATCCGAGGCTCATTTTCAAGTTGTGGTTTGTACAGCGCAAAGGAAATTTCACATCTAAAAATGTCATGCATGGGACAAATTTGGGTGGAAATACGAATGGGAAACGTGTTTCAGATGGAACTAAAGTGCATATTGTTCTTTTTGCTAGTATTTAAAAAGTATTTCTGGCTCACTCGAGCTTCTCTTAATGATATGTTCAAATATCTTATGTTTGTCCTTGAGTTCACGTTTCATCGACTTGTTTTCTGGAAAGCAAGGAAAGTTTTAGGCCTGGAAAGATCTTGGCTGATACATTTTTAAGTTTGTATTCAACAAGGGTGAGAGTTCGATTATCCTGAATATACCGAAAACTAAGTCACAAGAATTTTTACTACAGAACCCCGAGTAAATTTTCAAGTTCATTTTATAAATCCTGATGGACTAAGGTTGCACATTTGCCTGAAATCTTTGTAAATCAGAGAATCCTGGAGTGGATTGGGTTGGAAGGGACCTTAAAGCCCAGCCAGTCCCACCCCCTGCCATGGCCAGGGACACCTTCCACCAGTGCAGGTTGCTCCAACCTGGCCTTGGACACTTCCAGGGATCCAGGGGCAGCCACAGCTTCTCTGGGCAACCTGGGCCAGGGCCTCTCCACCCTCCCAGCCAACAATTCCTTCCCAATATCCCACCCAAACCTACCCTACGAATTTTAATTTGAACACTGTTTAATTTGAAGAAAAGGGTGTTTAAACCCAACGATGCCGAAGGTCCGACGGGAAAAGGCCTCACCAAGTTTCTGCTGCAAACCTCCCGCAAACACCAACTCCCACCTTGACGGGAAGAGGGGGAGGAATCAGGAAATAAACTGATAGCAGGATAATCTTAATCTCCCCTTGCTTTGATTTTTTTTTTTTTTTTTATTTCCTGTCTTCACTGTGCCTGTACGAACTGCGACGTGCACTGGCAGCATCCGCCGTGCAGGAGGGAACCGCTCCAGCCGTTCCTTCCCGCCCTCACAGCCCTGCCCATGGACACCCCTTCTGGCTGTGGGAGAGCCACGGGGGCTGAGGCATTCTGTAGATTTATACCTGTCTAGTTTGTAAAGTTGTGTAACGTGTACTGCAGATGTGTATTCTCTGGGCTCTATGTATCTTTACAGTAGTGTTCAATTTAGGATTAAAAAAAAAAAACGAAACGGAAAAAAAAAAAACCAAAAAAATAAATTGTGGACACGTTTTGCTGGTACCAAGGGGAAATTTTTTTTTGCCATTGCATCAAACGATGCTGAAACGTATTAAACTCTTGATAGGAAACCTGAACCCTCCTTCCCCCATTCCGTGGAGATAAGTCTTTTATCTTCATCCTGAAGTTCTACCGGAGATGGATGGATACACTGGCAGACTGCATGAGATGTATCATTCGAAATCCGTTACAGTGGAAAATAAAACTGAGCTAAACTCTGCGGTGTGGGCCTTGTGTGACACGGGATGTCCAGCAGGGACTGCTCTCTGTGACAGGGACAGCACCCAGGGAATGGCCTGGAGTTGTGTCAAGGCAGGGTCAGGTTGGATCTCAGGAAAAGGTTCTTCCCCCAGAGGGTGGTTGGGCACTGCCCAGGCTCCCCAGGGCAGTGGGCACAGCTCCAAGGCTGCCAGAGCTCCAGGAGGGTTTGGACAACGCTCTGAGGGACAGGGTGGGATTGCTGGGGTGTCTGTGCAGGGCCAGGAGTTGTACTGATGATCCTTGGGGGTCCCTTCCAGCTCAGGATATTCCATGATTCTCTTAGTGACCCATTCAATGGAATTGCACTCTGGAGTGTGCTGGAGTTCATGTCCAAGGCCATGCTCTGGATTTTAGCTTTCCTTCTAAACCTGCACCAGGTAATTCATAGAATCCCAGACTGGTTTGACTTGAAGGGACCTTAAATCTCATCTCATCCCACCCCCTGCCATGGGTAGGGACACCTTCCACTAGCCCAGGTTGCTCCAAGCCCCATCCAACCTGGCCTTTGGACACTTCCAGGGATCCAGGGGCATTAATTAGAAGGTTTGGATGACTGGGAAACGAACACAGCATTTAAAATTTTTTTTTAATAAATAATTGCATCTTCTCTGTTACCTCTCCATGGACATATTCCTTCTTCCTCCTCTTTTTTAGTAGCCTGGAGGATGACAGGGAGACTCTTCCACTTACCCTCTGCATGCATTTCCATTTTTATAGGAATATTACACTCACTTTATGTACAGTGTAGTGAAGTTCCTGCCTCCTTGCCACCTCCCTTAAGTCATATTCAGGAGCTTCATAAACAACTTATTTCCAGTAATTATTACTCTGAGCTTTTCTCAATTAAATCATTACTTTTCTCCTCAGCAATGGAAATTCCATTGGATTCTGTAGAAATGGATTGCTCCCTTTTTTTCAACGATGAGTGGATTTCTAATGAGAATTACGTGGGTTTTGCACCAAGCCTAGCAGAGCTAGAAATTAGTCTGGTAAAATTTGGAGCTGATTATTTCTAAATCAGAATAAATATTGGATTGTGGTGCTTTCAGTGCATAAAAGGCACTTCCTCATGCTCTGAGAAGCTGCAGGATGAGGATGGATCCATCTAAGAAGAAGAGGCTTTCCAATGTAGATGGTTTATGTTAAGGAGAGCAGATGGGAAGTCCGAACATTGCCCAATAGTCCTGCAGAGGAAGGCAAACCCTGTACGGTGCCAGAGCTTTTTCCGTGAGTTAAAACCCTTCTAGATCTCTTTGATAAACCTCGTGCCTGGAGGACGAACTCAATTACAGAGCAGACTGTTTGCAAGTTTATCCCTACAATTTCACTTTCGGAATGTGGGATCGCAGCAGTTAATTAACTCTAAGAAAACATCACAAATTACTGTATCCATTTCCAAGATCCGGCTTACGCAACAGCCCAGCGAAAAACAAAGGAACGGGGTTTGCATCCCTAGAAAAACACTCGCTGCCAGCCTGTCACTGTTGATTTCAACACTTCTTAACTCCGACTTAAAAACTTTAAATTTACCTTCTAGCACAGCTGAACCCAATGGAGACTATTTATCCTAAAATGAGATTTGTCAGTAGTTTGGGCTCAAGTCACCTGATGGTCGCACGAATCAGCTCGTCCTTGATACGCTTTGATACCACGTTGATCCCGGTCCCGGGGGAAGGGAGGGGGTGTCAGGGGAGGTGTCGGTGCAGCTCTCGGGGGGTGCTCGGGTGGGGGGTCCCCTCCTCGCCCCCGCAGCCGCCCGGGCGGTCCCTCCCTGCCCGCAGGTACCACCGCCCCGGGGGCGGGCTCGGGGTGTCCGAGCCGAGCTCCCCGCCCCGGCCCCTCCTCCGCCACCGGCACAGCCCCAGCCCCGTGCCCTGGTGCTCCGGTGTCCCAGTATCCCGGTGTCCTGGTATCCCGGAGTCCCGGAGCGGCCGCCGAGCCCCTGCACGGACGGTGAGTGCGGGGAAGGGGCCCGGGAAGGGAGCGGGGCTGGGACGGGCTCGGGGCTGCGGGTCCCGTCCTGCCGCCCCAGGGGATGCTGAGCCGCGGCCACAACCCTGGCGGGGTCGGGGAGCGGCAGGTGGCACCGAAATTCTTGTGTCCCCAGCCCCGCGGGGAGCGGGAGGTGGCACCGAAAACCATGTGTCTCCAGCTCCCCTGGTTTTGGGGAGTGGGAGGTGGCACCGAAATCTGGGTGTCCGCAGTCCCGCGGATAGTGGGAGGTGGCACCGAAATCTGGGTGTCCCCAGCCCCACTGGTTTTGGGGAGTGGGAAGTTGCACTGAAATCTGGGCATCTCCAGTCCCAGGAGTTTCGGGGAGCGGGAGGTGGCACCAAAATCGGGGCGTCCCCGGCCCTGTGGGGAGCAGAAGTGGCACTGAAATCAGGGTGTCCCCAGCCCCACTGGTTTTGGGGAGTGGGAGGTGGCACCAAAATGAGAGTGTCCCCAGCTCCGTGGGCAGCAGGAGGTGGCAGCAAAGTCAGGGTGTCCCCAGACCGTGCAGTTTTGGGGAGCAGGAGGTGGCACTGAACTCAGGACATCTCCAGTCCCGTGGGGAGCAGGAGGTGGCACCAAAATCAGGGTGTCCCCAGCAGCTGTGGTGCTGGTGGGAAGGAGCCAGACTGTGGGAAGGAACCAGACTGTGGGAATCACTGGGTGTGCAGCGTCGAGGGACCCAAATCATAGCCCGTGTTTTACAGGTCTGTTGTAAAAGTGCAGTTATTGCACATCTCCTGATGGTTATAGAGCTGTAAAAGGTTCTGTGTTCCACAGCTATGGCAGCAAAGCTTGGGCTCTTTTAAAGTGGGTGTGTTAGGCTTCACTGTAGGAAGTGCCAGAACACAATAAAAATGTACCTAGGGGAGCAAATACCAGCAAAAAATACAAGCTGCCCACCATGAAGGCTGGAGAGGGACTTGGGACAAGGGATGGAGGGACAGGACACCAGGAATGGCTTCTCACTGCCAGAGGGCAGGAATAGATGGGATATTGGGAAGGAATTGCTGACTGTGAGGGTGGGGAGCAGGTTGCCCAGAGAAGCTGTGGCTGCCCTATGCTTGGAAATGTTCAAGGCTTGGAGCAACCTGGGCTGGTGGAAGGTGTCCCTGCCCGTGGCTGGGGGGTGGAACAAGATGAGGTTTAAGGTCCCCTCCAACCCAAACCATTCTGAGATCCTATGAAAGTCAGTGAGCAGGTGCTGGGCTGGCACTGGCAGGTTGTTGCTGCCTTTTCTGTGGTGTTTCTCCTGAGAATGGACCCTGGCTCCTTGTACCTATTCCCAATATCCAAATGTGTATCCCTGCCCTGAATCAGGCTGTAAATCCCTTGGAACAACCACCAGCAGTGTTGTTTGGTATCACAGGCACCGAGGGCTCAGTGCTGCTCGAGGCCCACGGGTGCTCTGCTAATGCAGGGAATGAAAACAACCCCAGCGCTGAGGAGCGTACGTGGTTCACCCAGAGAGAACTGGTTTGCAAGACTCAGCTGGTTGATTCCTAAGGGCAATCTCAGGAAAATGGGTTTGTGTGATTTCCCGTCTGTCAGAGGGTAAATGCAGGGAGAGCCTGGAACCACAGATGGAGAGATCAGAGCAGTGGCAGAGCCGTGTGCTGCAGCCTCTCTCATAAATACAGGACTGGTAATCCCAGATGCTCAGATAATGACTCAAGTTTCTCTCCCTCAATAAACGTGTTTTTGTTTAAAATTATAAAATCTTAAATGCCGAGATCTCTCTCTCTCGGGTCGGTTTGGAACCTCTAAGTTTAAGGTTTTAGAGCTTTTTCTGTAACTGTGAACCTCCCCATTGCGATGCCCCATCCTGCCTCTGCTCCGAGGAGTTCTGAAGAAAAGGACAAAGAAAATTAAAAAGGTTTATGATGACAAAGGATTGTGTTTGAGAACACAGGGACCAGCTTGGAAGGAGGAGAATTCAGAGCTGTGGTGTCTGTCTCCCATCCGTCCCTGGCCAGGCTGTGTACCTGCAGTGCAGGTGAATTCCAGAGGTAATTGCAGATGGATGTTTTATAGCATGGAGGAAGGGAGTTGTCCTGGTTGTTACACAGCTTGGTGATTCATCAGTCTTTGCAGGGTGATAGTTTTGCTCCTGTAGTCAGTCCACAACTGACTCGGTTCCCAGTGTTTTCCCTCTCCCCTCCATGCCTTGCTTTAACTCAGTTAACATTTCCCAGCGTGGTAATTGCAGTGCCAGCTCCCAGCCACTGCTATCCCTTCCAGGGTGGATGATCTCCCTCAGCCTGGCTTTGCCAGAGCTGCATCTCCGAGGTTGGACATCTGGCTGTGTGATGTTTGCTGTCAGGGGTCCGGGAAATCCTCTAATCAGCTTGTACAGGATGGATCCCACATGCTGATCCTGGAAACACTCGGGAAGAATTCCATCCTCTGGCTGGCTCGGGGTGCTTTACCTGGCAGGAAGAAGAGGGAGAGCACAGCCAAGGTGGGGAGATGTGCTGGGGAACATGTACTTTTGGCAAGCACGAGGTGCTGCAGGGAAGGAACCAGTGCTACAGGAACAGGCACCTTTTCCTGCACCAGCTTGGGAGCTCTGGAGAAGGGACACCTGTGCCTTGGGAATTCCTAAGCAGATTCCTGCCATGCAGACAGGTTATCACCATCTCTTCCTGCTCAGTTTTCTGTTTGCCCAAGCTTCAGCTGTGGGAGAAGACAGAGGGAATGTTTCCTTTTCTACTCTTTATACAAATTATGTAGGAGAGCCCTGTCTGAAATCAGGAGTTGCAAACTTGAGTTACAAAACAGAATCACTATGATTTTCACCTTCTAGTGGAAGGTGTCCCTGCCCATGGCACAGGGATGGAATGAGATGGGCTTTAAGGTGCCTCCCAACCCAAACCATTCCATGATTAAAAATAAAAAAAATAATGATAATTTTGCTGCATGAATTCTCACAATTCTGAAAATCCCCCTCTTTTTTTTTTGTTTTTAAAATGTAAGCTCCTAAATATTTTAATTCCTCGTGTCCATGGGCTGGATCTTGTGGATTCAAAGGAAAGGAATGCTTCAGTTATTCAAGTGTGTGACTCAAAGGCCTCCTGGATGAGGAGGGTTCAGAAGTGGTGAAAAGGTACCTCCGATAGTGCCGCGCCAATAAACTTCAGAAGGAATTTCTGAAGCTTAATTCCTGAATTAAGCTTTCCTCAAGGATTGAGTGGGATCGGGTGATGCCTGTGATGTTGGCAGTTATTGTGCCATTAATTGCTGTGAGAATCTTTTAATCTCAGTAAGAGCTTTCCCCTGGGCTTTGCACGTGCTTCCAGCTGATCCCTGGGCTGGTTATTCCCGGTGCCAAACGCTGAAGGCCGGGTTGGATTGGGCTTGGAACAACCTGGTCTAGTGGAAGGTGTCCCTGCCCATGGCAGGGGGTTGGAACAAAGTGGTCTTTAATGTCCCATCCAGCCCAACCCATTCCATGATCCTGTGATTTTAAGGGAATGCTCAGGAGAACTGTTGGAAGATGTTTTCTCACTGTCCATGAGCAGCCAGAACACAGAGCCCAGACCAGGATCCCTTTTCCCAGTGCAACAGCACCAATCTACCCACACCAACAAAACCAGACTGGGATTTCTTGCCTCAAGCCTGGGGCCTTTTGATGTACCTGCTCTGAACTCCAGGTTTTTGGCTTTGTACCAAATGAGGGTAAAATGGTGTTCATTTGGGGTTTTTTGTCTGGGCTTTGCTTTGATATTTAAACAAATTTAGACTGTTGTGTGAAACCTACTTAAAATACACTTGGAGATCCCACTGTTGATATCACTTTGCAGATATGGAAATGGGACAGTAAAGGATTGGAACCTGAGTCTTTGTGCTAAAAAAAACCCACCAAAGAATCATCCCAGAATAGTTGGGGTTGGAAGGGAACTTAATATCATTTCATTCCATGGGAAGGGACACCTTCCACCAGCCCAGTTGCTCCAACCTGGCCTTGGACACTTCCAGGGATCCAGGGGCAGCCACAGCTTCTCTGGGCAACCTGTGCTAGGGCCTCCTCACCCTCTCAAAGACAAGGAAAGATCAAGGCTTTAGCAATATTCTGACTGGACGAATGGCTCTAGATGAGTAATTTATCTTCTTTCAGTGCATTTCTTGTCTCATTCTGGAGAATTGTGGACTCTTAGATCTAATATTTCCACTCACCAGCTCTCAGTCCAGGGAAAGGTCCACCCCATCCTTCATTTTCATCCTTCATTATCCTTCATTTTTTATAGTAGGAGTACATGCTGAAAAGCAAAGTGGGAGGAGATGCTTGCAGTAAGAAGGTGAAAAATTGGATGTATAAATAGATTGAACATGCTGCTGATTCAAAATTTTGAAGTGGAGTCATTTTAACACTCACTTTAATTAGTTTTGCCCATGAATTAGTGTGCCTGTGAGAACAGTTTTCTTTCCTATGTCAGTCAAAATGGCCTTGTAGTTTTTCAATGAAGAAACGTGTCTTTCTTCCCTGCAGCCTAATTACACTGGTATCATTTGGTATTTCCAAATGATAGAGAAGCTAAGACTGAAATCCTCAGGATATGTGGATTAAGAACTAACACCAGTTGTAGGAGAAGACTTGATTTGCATCTATATTTTTGCCTTAGGTTTAAATGCGAGATATTGTAATTTTTTTTCTGTTATTTAAAAATTGTAGAAACAAAATTAAATACCACCTTTAGTGGTCTGTAGGCCCTCAGGATAATAATAATTCCTTCCAAAATTGCTCCTGAGTGTCTGACACACAGGGCAGCGTTGGAGCTGTGTTGGGAAGAGCAGGTTGCCATCCTAGACTGGCTCATCCTCTGGGATCTGTGGAGCTGCCCCTGGCAGTGATGAATAACTCCTGCTTCAGGGCAGACTTATCTCCTCCCTTACACACCTTCCCAATTGGGCCATGTCAAAACCAGCAAGAGGTGTAAGATTATCTCCCCGACCCCAGCAGA